TCAGCAACATATATAAATGATTATGCATTGTGATCAAGGGTATTTATCCCAAGAACTTTGGTTCAACATACAAAAGTAATTATACATTCATTGTGTTAATAAAGAACGACAACCACATTGTCAACAGCCCCAAACCACCATTTTGCACATCAACTTTGAGAAATAATTTATGACTAAGTCCTCAAAAGCAATTGCTACAAAAACAAAAATTGACAAGTGGGACCTAATTAAAGAGCTTCTTCACAACAAAAGAAACTATCAACTGGGTAAAGAGACAACCTACAGAAGTTGGAGACATATTCACAAAATATGTATCTGAAAAAGGTCTAATATTCAGAATCTACAAGGAACTTAATTCAATGAACAAAAAAAACAAATAACCCCATTAAAAAGTGGGCAAGACATTTGCAGACACGTCTCACAAAAAGACATACAAGAAGCCATAAACATATGAAAAATGCTCAACATCACTAATCATCAGAGAAATGCATATTAAAACCATAATGAAATACCATCTCACACCAGTCAGAATGGCTATTGTTAAAAAGTAAAAAAACAACAAAAACCCAGAAACTGGCAAGGCTGCAGAGGAAAGAGAACACTTATTCACTGTTGATGGGAATAAAAATTAGTTTAGCCAGTTTGGAAAACAGTTTGGAATTTCCTATAGAACTTAAGATGGAGCTACTATTTGACCTGGCAAACCCATTACTAGGTATATATTCAAAAGAAAATTATTTGGGCATATATATCCAAAAGAAAATAAATAATTCTACCAAAAAGACACCTGCACTAGTATGTTCATTGTAACACCATTCACAGTGGCAAAGACACGGAATCAACCCACGTGCCTATCAATGGTGAACTGGATAAAAAAAATTTTGGTCCATATATACCATGGACACAGCCATAAAAAAGAATACAATCAAGTCCTTTGCAGCAACATGATTGCAGCTGGAGGCAGTTGTCCTAAATGAATTAACACAGGAACAGAAAACCAAATACTACATGTTGTCATTTGTAAGCGGGAGCTAAACACTGAGTACTCATTGAAATAAAATTGCCAACAATAGACACTGGTGTCTAGTAGAGTAAGAGGAGATGGGGGGTGGAGTTCACAAATTATCAGGTACTGTGCTCACTACCTGGATGACGGGATCATTTTTGTCCCAAACCTCATCACACAATATTCCCATGGAACAAACGTGCACATGTATCCTCTGAATTTAAAGTAACAATTGAATTTATTTAAAAAAAAAGTATAATACCTAACAGAAAAAAAATTTTTACCTTCCTTTGTAAACATTTTTTGGTAGTATTTGGCAAACTGTTTATAAAATTCCTACGGAAATGCAAGTGCTCCAGTACAGCTAAAACAATCTTGAAAAGGAGAACAAGTCTTGAGTCCTAGATTCATAATTCCTGATTTCAAAAGTTAATACAATGGATAGTAATCACAGCAATGCATTACTGGCATAAGGATAGACTGATAGGTCAATGGAATGGAATTGAGTGTCCAACAATTAACCTATGCATAAAAATATAAAATCAGTTGTAAAAGTTGAAAGTACAAATCCTATAGAGGAGAACATAGAAATACATTTTGGTTGCCTTAGGAAAACAATGGCTTGTAATACATCACACCAAAATAGAAATGTCACATATAAAAAATGGTAAAGTGATCTGCATCAGAATTGAATTTTGTGATTCAAATTCAAAGCACACCATCAAGAGTACACAAGCAAGCAGAGGCAATGTTTGCAAAACATATAGCTGAGAGAAGTCTACTGAATAGAAGATATAAAATATTCTTACAACTCAAAAATGAAAAATGAAATATTCTTTTTTTGGGCGGGGGGCGCAGAATTTCACTCCTTACCCAGGCTGGAGTGCAATGGCACTATCTCAGCTCACTGCAACCTCTGCCTCCTGAGTTCAAGGGATTCTTCTGCCTCAGCCTCTGGAGTAGCTGGGGTTACAGGCACCCGCCACCATGCCCAGTTAATGTTTTGTATTTTTAATAGATACAGTGTTTCAGCATGTTGGCCAGGCTGGTCTCCAACTCCTGACCTCAGGTGATCCACTCACCTTGGCTTCCCAAAATACTGGGGTTACAGGCGTGGGCCACTGCGCATGGCAAAAAATATAATTAAAAGTGGGTAGATGGTGTGAATATATATTTTCACAAAATCTCTTTAGAAATGTCTAATAAACATATAAAAATATGCTCATCATTTTTAGTCCTTAGGGAAATGCAAATCTACATCATCATAAGATATACTTCACAAATATTAAAGGCATATTCTTCAGTGGAACAAAGCTAGTTTGTAAAAACTACATAATATATAAATCCTTTTATATGATACTCTGGAAAGGTGAAGAAATAGGGATAGATAAAAGGTTCTTTACTTTGCTCTTTCAGATGGTAAAACCTAGAATTAGTAGACTTTTCCTGTAGCAAGGAGTACTCCTGGCCAAATTGTTGCTTCACGAACAAAAGGAATTAGGATTTCATGCAGAAATGGTGTATACTAGGACTGGGCAGGATACCAAGCAAATTAACCAGAAGTACCTCGTAAGGAATGAAAATAGGAAAATGGTAAACAACATATCAAACCAATGAAAAAGACAAACAACCAAACATAATAATCTGGGTATTTCAAAATGATATACGAATCATATAAAAGACTTTCCAATGAGCAACATTGGAACAATTTGAGCAACAAAATAGATAAACCAATGTAAGTATAGTTAAATCACGAGAAAAATATCAGAGAAATCCAAATTTAGGTGTGTCGATTTCATAAAAACGAAATGTCTCAGAATCTGTCAGCAAAATTCCATTTATCCCAGCAACATTTATATATATTTATATATTTCATTCTAAATTTTCTTGACAACCTTATAAAATCAGTTGATCATACCCTTTGGTGCCTAAGGGAGAAGTGGTATCTAAATGTGATGTGGGGAGCTTAGGTAGGATACTGAAACAGAAAAAGGACTTTAAGTGAAAAGATAATCTGAATAGAGTTAGGAAGTTAGTGAATAATAATGTACACCAATGACTCATTAATTATGAGAAATGTGCCACATTAATGTATGAGGAAAATAATAAAGGAAACTGTATGTAGGGTATTGGTAAGTACTGTTTACTACATTTGCAACTGTTCTGTAAATCTAAAACTATTCTAAAACAGAAAAGTTTGCCTTTTTTGTCAGTTCTGCCAAACTTAATAAACAGAACATTATCAACATTGTTGATGCCCCATTTGTGCATATCCCAGTTGCATTTATTTCTTCACCTGGTGAAGATTACTATTATTTTAAATTGTCTATTTGTCATTCTTTTATTTTTCTATAATTATTTTTATCTTTTAGTTTATATTTCCAAATAATATATTGTTTGGTATTTTATCTTTAAACTTGGATAAATATAAATGTCTAAATTAAGCCACAACCTTAGTCTAAGCATGATCTGATAGATCTATATTGTGAAACATTTATACAAAACACCTGACCAGTTCTTTTCAAAAAGGTCAATGTTATTTAAAATATGTGAACTCTGAAAAAATATTGCAGATTGGACAAGACCTGATGTGGCAGGCAGGCTTTAGCATGTCACAGTTTATTGGTAAACACAATCTTGTATTCAAATAATCTGATCCTGAGTTTGGACAGATGTGAGTTGCTTGTAAACAGCAAAATATTGCAAAGGTGCTGGGATGTAACTTGGATGATTATGTTACACAAGATTGTGACTTCTGTCTTCCTAGCAAACTCTCTCCTTTAGTGGCTTTGATGAAGCATTCTGCATTTGGGAGAAGCCAATATGGGAAGGAACTGAACGTAGCCGCAGACCAACAGCCAGCAAGGAACTGAGGCTCCTGGTCCAATAGCTTGACCAATACTTTGCAATATTACATTTAAAGTTAAACCAATTTCTCTTTCAGATAAGTGTATATTGCTTCAGAGGTAGTGTCAATACTTTGTGATAACAGAATACCCCAATTCTTCCCCTATAATCTTGATATAATTTCTTCCATTAATTTCACTTATATACAAGCATACCTCTATAAATATTTATGTATATGTGTTTATATATATAATATACATTAGCACACCTAATCAAATACATTGTTGATATTGTTATTTTAACAAGTGTTATATCTTAGATTAAACCTACTAAATAAAAAATAGTCTCTAAGGTAATCACTAAAAAATGATATGCTAAGAAAAGAGAGAAAATTGAAACAATAAAATAAATAATAAAATGCTAAAAAAAAAAAAAACCCACGCAAAGCAGAGAATGAATGGAAGAAGGACAAGGGCAATAACTAAAAGATAGTAGATATTAATCCAACTATATCAATAATGTCACTGAACATCAATTGTCGAAATATAATAATTAAAAGACAGATTTAAAAAAACACTAAAGTATATGTTGTTTACAAGAAACTCACTTAAAATATAAAGACAGATACAAATTAGAAGTAATTGAATGAAACAAATATATGATGCTAACATTAAAAGAAAGTAAGTACATTAATTTTTGACAGCACAGACTTGGAAGCAAGTAAAATTATCAGGGATAAACAAGGGCATCAGGTAATAATAAAATGGTCAGTTATCCAATAAGATATAACAATCTTGAACAAGTATACAGCTAACAATAGAGGGTCAAGCTACGTGAGGCAGAAAGTGAGAGAACTGTAAAGAAAAATAGATGAATTCACTATTGCTGTTGGAAAAGTCAACACGTTTCTATCAGAAATGGAAATATTCAGCAGACACAAAATCAGTAGGGACATATTTGAACTCAACACCATCACTCATTTGGATATAACATATCTATAGACCACTGAATCCAACAACAGGCAGAATATACATTCTCCTCCAGCCCACATGGACTCTTCCCCAAAATAAACAAGTTCTAGGACACAAAGCTCATCTTAAAATATTTAAGACAATAAAAATTGTACAATATATACTCTCTGACAAATAATACTTATCTCCTCTATTTTTTCCCCAGAATTCCTCCAGTTTCCTTTGAGAATCATCTTGCCTTTCCCTTTACAAAGTAAATGCTAGTCTGTGTAGTTTGCATGAAGTATACAGTTGCCCTCTATATGCAGTAAAATGATGGTTAACGGTTCAAGCTATTCTTGTGCCTCAGCCACCTGAGTAGCTGGGATTACAGGTGCGTGCCACCATGGCTAATTTTTAAATTTTTAAGAGAGATGGTGTTTTGCCATGTTGGCTACACTGGTTTTGACCTCCTTGACCTCAGGTGATCCACGCACCTTGAACTCCCAAAGTCCTGGGATTATAGGCATGAGACACTATGCCCAGCCTGACAAATTCATTTTTAAACAACCAATGTCTGGTGTTAATATTCTCTTTATATAGTACTGGGCTTCAATACTTCTCAGAACCCCTGCAGCTTTAGATGGCAAAACAGTAGCCATTTAGTAATTTGGAGTTAAGACACCTATAAAGTATCAATATTTTTGGTCTGTTGATTGCTTACATCTCATGTATCTTGAACTAATGCCCCCACTCACCAGAATATTTTAGACTGTTGGATTGACAATGTAATTACTTGCATAGCAGACTTATGCTTGGAAGTCTTGGCAACCCTCCCTGTAGGAATGCTTTATTCCCAAGAGAATATGCTCCTCTCAACACTGTCATGTTCCCATTAGGACCCTCCACATTCATGCCCTAAATAAATTATACTCTGCCTGTTGGAGTCCTGAATTATTCATGTATTTTCCTTGTTTTCATACACTGGTGGTTTCAGGTGAGGAAACCTCTGTTTAACCCAGCCTGAGGAATTTTCACTAGTCAATGAAAAAGTTGACCTAGTTTGTGTTTGGAACCACTTACTTCTAAGCACCCACCCAACCAACCCTTCTTTCTTTGCCCATAAACGTTCATTGTCCTCCATCCTATGAAACCTACTTCCAAGAAAGTCTCTGCTATCAGTCAACACAACTTAGTTTGTATTTAAAGGAAAGGTGCTGTTTACCTAAGAAAGACCATTTTTTAGCAGAGATTTTGTTTGGCTTCTCTTTTCTGGTATTTCCCATGCTCCATTCCATTCATTGCATAAATCCAGGATCTAGAACATGGCTATAAAACTTATCAACTCTTTGATTTTATGAGCCTCAATTTTCCTATCTGGAAGGCACATCTGAAGATGACACTCCTGTCCTGGGACTTCTGAGAGAGCCATTCCCAGCTCTTTCTCAGGAAAACAATGAACTGCTGTTTGGGAATCCCTCATTGCATCACATAACTCTGGGATCACAGCAGTGACTGGTTCAGGGAGGGCCTGGGCATGCTTCTCACAGTCGGGGGCAGTTTCTAGACCTCTAACATGAAGATATTTAGAGCAAGAAAGACAACCATCCACGAGTTAGAAATTCTCAAATTTTCCACAGGCCATTTTCTAGTTCATGATATACACATATATGGAAAATACTCTGCTTATTACTAACAAAGGCTTTAGACTCACATCCTACAGAAAAAATTTTTTTTATCTTATGAGATAAATGAGGACTTTGGTGAGCTGTCATATGAGGCCTGAAGCAGTGTTTGGAACAATAGGAAACATGGACTGTCTGCATCATACTTCCCTAGAGTGCTGCCTGAAATCCAAATTTCTGGTTTTACCACAGATCTAGAAAATTAGGACGATACAGCCAGAATTAGACACTTTAAAAAAATTAGTGATTAGTGAGCATTTCCGGCATAAACTAAAAGCAGTTTGGATGGTTCCTTTAGGCCTCTTTCTTCTGAGACCATATCCTTATTTTGGTCTTACCACTCCCAAACCAGTGGAGGAGGCTCAAGTTTTCTGGAAAAGGAAGGGATTCAGTCAAATAAACAATATTATTTGAAAATTAAAAAAAAACAAAAAAACAATTTTTTATGTGAAAAGTGTTCAAGGAAAAAGTCTGTCTTATCAGGATCATAGCATTTATATTTAGCTTGAGGCCTTTTTAAAAACTGTCAAGAAGTAAGAATTTTAAAAATATGTCCCTGGTAATATTGCAAGGGTGTAGGACTATTAAAAGAAAAGTAAATTACCACTCTGCTTCTGAAAGGCAGTTCTGATTACAAAAGGTAGGTGATTATCTGGCTAGGAAGCAGGAGCTTTGATCCTTTGGAACTGTACTAAACAACTCAGAGTGAATAAATCAGGCCCCAGGTTACCAGGAAGAATCCAGTAGTTTCTCTGCAATGGTTTTCTTCCAGGCCTAATCTCATAAATGTTTTAGTCTCAGTTATCATATTTTTACAGTGTTTGCTTCATATAAGTAAGTACTTTTATGTTCCTAAAAAGGGGTTCTTCTATTTGAATTGCCTAGGAAAGGCAAATAGGGCACAATTGCCCAAGGAACTCACTCGTTAGCTATACATATATATGTATATTCCATATCTATCAATCTATCTTTATTAGTCAGTTCTGATTGCTACAAAAATGCCATATACCAATAGCTTCAACAACGTACATTTATTTTCTATAATTCTAAAGTTTGGGAAGTCTAAGATAAAGGCAAATTCTGTTTCTTGTGAGGCCTCTTTTCCTTGCTTACAGGCAGCTACATTCTTGGTACACCTTCACATGGCAATTACATGGAGCACTGGTGTTTCTTCTTATAAAGGCACAAATCCCATCATGGGGGTTTCATCCTCATGATATCATCTAAACCTAATCACCTCCCCAAAGTCCCACCTCCTAATACCATCACATTGGGAGTTAGGGCTTCAAAATGTGAACTTTTGGGGGGACACAAACATTTAGACCATAACTCATCTATCTATCTATCTATCTATCTAGTCTATCCATCCATCCATCTATCCATCTGTATCTATAAAACAAATTACAACAATGGTTTATAAGTCATTTCCCTACATTATTTCATTTCATCCTTTCAAAAATCTTGTGAGATACACAGGCCATAGCAAAAGTAATGATTTCACTAAGACTCTTGAAGGTTGAATCAACTGTTTGTTCTTATATAACTAGTAAATATCGGAGCAAGGAATTTCACTTACATCTTCTCTGTCCTACTTTTCCCTATCCCTTCCTCCCACTTGCTGATTCCATTCCAGCCACATTTCCTTACTAACTGCTCCTGAGAACACCAGGCATTCTTCCTCTGAGCCTTTGCAATTATCTGGAATGATCTTTGCTCACATATCTGGCTCAACTGCTTCTCTCTAGACTTTGTTTAAATTTACCTTCCCAGTGAGGCATGTCTGAAACTCCTGCTTCTATGTCTGAAACTCCTGCTTCTATCTACAATCTCAATCCTCCATGTATTTCTTTAGTTTCCATGGCACATTTGTTATTGGCTTATTTACCAGATGATTTACATGTTTATTCCTTCTTTTCTCCCGTTCAAGTAGAATGCAGGGTCCACAAAGTCAGAAATTTTGCCTTTCTGTCCAAGACTAGAGAGAACTGGGCCAGAGGTAGGGTCAGCCAAGTTAACAGTCAAGTCAGGGAGGGTGCAGCTCATGATACATACAGGTTTCCCTGTACCCTCCACAGTGTAGAAGACCACTCTAATACAGTGCAGTTCCAACTGGGCTCATCTGCTCCCCAGTCACCAATAAACACACACACGCACATACACATACACACTCACTCACTCTCTCTCTCTCTCCCCTTGTGGTTTTGGGCCTCCAACTTCTGTAGGGAGAAAAAAGGTTAAATCTAACTTGAGGGAACTGAGCCCATTCTTCCTGGAACAACATCCATTTATGCGAACTGTATGTGGAAGGAGATTGGTTCTTATTTCTTGAGATCCTTGACAAGAGTAAGAAATGATTTGGTGGCTCCTAAGAAGGCCTTGGCAGGTACAAGTGTCACTAGTGGCTGCTTTCCATCATAGGCACAGTCAATGTGACCAGGACATCCAAACACAAGTATTTAATTAACAATGCTGGCTCCTCTAGGCCAGGCACAGTGGCTCACACCTGTAATCCCAGCACTTTGGGAGGCTGAGGCAGGTGGATAACTTGAGGTCAGGAGTTTGAGACCAGCCTGACCAGTAAGATGAAACGCCTCTCTACTAAAAACACAAAAATTAACTGGGTGTGGTGCCATGTGTCTGCAGTCCCAGCTACTCAGGAGGGGAAGACAGGAGAACTGCTTCAACCAGGGAGGTGGAGGTGCAGTGAGCACAGATTGTGCCACTGCATTACAGCATGAGCGATGGAGCAAGGCTCCATCTCGAAAACAAGAACAAAAGCAAACAAACAAAAGAAAACAATGTGGCTCCTCTAAAGTCAAAAGGAGCACCTTGGTTGGGCAGGTCCATAGTATTTTTACTGAAAGGGAAACTAGAGGTTTCTCCCTACAAATGTCTGGGGCTATCCCCTATTGCACCACCTGTGTTTAGCCAGGTGGTCCTCAGGTGCTTTGTGTGAATGGGAGAACATAAGGATAACCAGTCACAACCGTTATGTTGCTGACCCTCACTGCATGGTTTGTGCTTTGTCCATGTGAGCCCCAGGTGCTTTGCTGATACATGGGCACATGAGGGCCTCCCATCAAGTGAATACTGACACTCCTGGAAGATGTACCATCTGTGTTTTGTCCAGGTGGGCCTTAGGTACTTTGTTGGTAGGTGGATACACAAGGACCTCCCATTAAAGGTATGTTGGCATTCACTGCTGATGAACCATCTGTGTTTTGTCCAGGGGGGTCCCATGCGTACTAATGGAGAAAAGGAGCATAAGGGCCTCCAACCACAGGGATGTTGTTGTCTTCTCCTGGTGCATGACCTGAGTTCTGGAGAGGTACATGGCAGGCACTTGGCATGAAGGCGAAACAAGAACCATTCATAGGGATAACGCTGGTGTTTACAACTGATGTGGTGTGGTCAGGTGAACCACAGGTGGTCTTATGGAAGTTGGAAACAGAGATGTCTCCTAACATATGTTTCTTGCCCATAGTGGTAGGTGCTTGAAGTGTAGAATTTTTTCTCTGTCCATGTATGCTGCAGGATGCACTGTTGAAAAGCAGGAACACAAGGTCCTCCAACCATGGATTTGGTGCCATCGCCTCCCATACTACTGCCTGAATGCTGGGTAGGTGGCTCGAAGCCAGGAATATAGGTGGCAGCAGAAAGATATACAGGAATGTTGCTAGTGCCTTGTGGTGCAGCAGCCATGCTGTGGCTAGCTGAATCCCAGGTTACCTGACCAAATGGGGGAACAGAAGTGGTGCTGGGTATCCCATTTTGTCGTTGTCCAGTGTTGAGTTCTCCTGATGTGGAACTGGGGCCTGGCAGAGACATGCTGAACCCAATGCTCCCACCATCCATAGGGGTTCCAGGTCCCATAATCACCTGTGGGCCTAGAATAGTATTTCCAACCAGTGAGGTACTGTCCCCAGTGACAGGCATCCCAGTGGCAACTCTAAATTCAGAAGTCTTTGCTATACCATTGGGGAAAGCACTTGCGTTGTGACCCTTGGCTGGCTGGCCATTAATAGGTGTGCCAAATGCAGAATATGGTGATGTTAACTCTGCAGAAGGAGATGGTAAGCCTGTAACTGGTGCTGGGGTTGCTAGATTCCCCAGAATAAAAGAACTGTCAGATTTTTGCTGCTCATCAGTGGCCCCAAGTGTGGAATGAGAGATGGTTCCTGTATTTAAAAGATGGCTGGAAGTTGTGGCTGGTCTCCTGTCTGCATGTGTAGGCAAACTGGTGGAGACTTGGGCTGAGGCATTGCTGTCACTGGGTAGTGTGTTCTCAGAACCAGAAAGCCCAACATAAAATTGGATGTACTCCTTCCTGGAGACAAAAGTAGACTGCAAGATGACAGTTTTGGAAGGAGGGGTGGTATTCATAGCATTGGTGTCAATGGCAGGCTTGGATAATGATGCTGCAGAGGCATTGCTCACTAAAGTGGAGGTATCTGGAGGAACCATGATGGGAAGGCTCGGAAAAACATGGGCACTGGGGAGAGAGGCTGTCTGCTGCTGCCCCTTGGGGGCCCCAAATTTGGGCTGAGCGGTGCCTCCTGGATTTGAAAGATAGTTGGAAATTGTAGTTGGTCCCCTGAATGACTGTGCAGGCAAGCTGGTGGAGCCTTGGGCTGAGGCAATGTTGCCACTGGGCCATGTGTTCTCAGAACCAGGAAGCCCTGTGTAAAATGGGAGGCACTTCTTCCTGGAGACAGAGGCAGACTGCAAGGTGGCAGCCTTGGAAGAAGGAGTGGCATTCATAGCATTGGTGTCAATGGCAGGCTTGGATAATGATGGTGCAGAGGCACTGTTCACTAAAGTGGAGGTGTCTGGTGGAGCAATGATGGGAAGGCTTGGAAAAACACAAGCACTGGGGAGAGAAGCTTTCTGTTGCTGACCATCAAGAGCCCCAGATTTGGATTTAGAGATGGCTTCTTTGCTAAAGAGTTGGTTAAAACTTGGGGTGGTGTCGTGGAATATAAACGTAAGGGGAGGTATGTAGACTGATGTCTTTCCTGGGTACCTCTGCTCTGTACTGCAATGTATTTGGGAAATTGGGAGAGAGCTCACCCTGGAGCTTGGAGAAGATGTGAAAACAACAGCCTGAAAAGGGGTTGCTGTATCCATGTTAACTGTTTCATGGTCTACTGCAGTCTGTGAGGTTAAGTGGGCAGATGTGTTTTCTGTGATAGTGGAAATGACTGATGTGGAATTCATAGGCTTGCTGGTGATAACTGAGGTCATGGTAGAAGGGGCTGGAAGAGGAGTTGGGAAGGAAAGAGGAGGAGGGGAATCTACAGGGATAGGTATTGGGGACTCCCATCTGAAGGGAGGCTTGAGGGAGAAGGGTGTGGGGCTAGGAGGTGTTGGGGGGTTAGAAGCAGGAGGTGCTGCACCTACGACTGAATGACAAGAGTCTCCTTTCTCATTAGACTGACACCCCAAAATGGGAACAAAGTCAGCAGGAAGGGCCAGAGGAGAGTTAGGGATTGTGAATGTTATTTTCTGATCCATTTTTGGTGTGGTGGAAAGTGGAGGGACAGGAAGGATGAGGGGTCTGGTAGCCAGGTCAGCCAAGTCAGGGATGGGTGAAGGAGCTGGGACCTGCGAAGTGGAAATGGAAGTGGCCAGGGGCAGGGAGTCTGTAGTCTCCACTGGTGGGGAGAAAGAAGGGGCAAGTTGGGTGACGCTGCTGCTTGTCATGGCCTCTGTTTCATCCTCCAAGCTTCTGCTCTTCCTTTTATACCCGAGGCTCTTCTCCAAGGTGCCCAGGTCTCCCTCAACAGACAGGCAGGGGAGCTTAGCAGGTGGGGGAAGCTCACCTCGATCCCACAGCAATGGCAGTGAAGGGGGCAGTGGCAGCAGCAATGGAATTGATATTTTCCTTTTGCAGGGCCTGTTGTGGGCAGCTCTGGGAGGGGCAGCGCTCCTTGGTGGAATACCTGAAGGGTTCCCATCGGCCATCCAGTTTCCAGACATCAGCGGCCTGGGCAAACCTGGAGAGCTGGGCAGTCGCTCTTCATTCAGCACTTCTGCAGTCAACTTCTGCGGCAGCAGGAGGCAGCCCTGGGCTGGCTCAGGGGGCACTGTTGCATCAGGATCAGCCTGCCCAAGATGCAGGGCATATCTGGCCTGGCTGTGTGCTCTGGGCACGGCACGGCCTTCTAAGCAGGAGCTCGATGGAGACGCCTGGGCCTTCTCAGTCAAGTTGTTTTCTGAGCACTTATGGTGCACATTTCCCTCCAGAGGCTCAGGGCTGCATCTGCAGGGGGCAAGGTCTCCCTGGGTGCCCTGGGACCTGGATGTGGATGACGCTTCACCGTTGCTAAGGAGGGCCCTCCTCTCGTCATCCTGCCCTTCGATCTGCACTGAAGCCTCATCCTTCATCACTCTTCTGGGCCCTTCTTGGGCCCGCACCTCGGTGTCCTCTGGGAGAGTGGCTGGGAGGGGCTTCCTGGCCCTGACTGTCGACTCAGATAGTGAAGGTAGCAGGAGGGTGAACACGCGGCTGGGAGGAGGGATCCTCACAGAGGTGGGGTGTCTGAAACTCGGGGGGTTCCGAGCAGGCAGCACGAGTGTGTTCTTCGGGGCCGGACCCCAGCCCACAGCCGGCAGGACGCCCAGCGGGGTGGCCGCAGTCCTCGGGAGAGGACACTGCCTCTCAGGGGCAACGAAGACGCTGGCCGGTGAAGGCCTGCGACGGGCATTCCGGCGGAACAGGCCGCGGAAAGGGCGCGGGGCGGGTGCGGAGTGAGCCCGGCCGGGCAGGGAGGCGTCCCGGGACAGGGGAGCGGGGGCGCCACGCCCTGGCCCCGGCAGGGACCGGCGACGGCACCTGGGTCTAAGTTTACCAAGTAAATTGCCCATTTAGAGCTAGCTGTGGCGCCTACCGTACAACAGGGTCAGCAGCGGACGCAACTCTCTTCAGCCACCGCCTCCTCTGGCGGCCGAGCAAACGCTGACTGGCCCGGCGCCTGCGACGCCTCCACGACGTTCCTCACAGAGCCGGGGCGCGCCAGCGTAGGCGCCAAAGGCAGGCGTCAGAGGGCAAAGGGCAAGGCCCCATCGGCCCCTGCGGCCTCCCGGCCCCGGAAGCCCGGCGGCTGGTGGCGACTGTTGCACTGCTGGGCCGCTACGTGGGAACGGCTGCGGTCCCATCCGCCAGAGTTCCCGCCTGGGCTCCGGCTCTGCGTGCTGCTCAGCCCTGGCCCAGCGCTGTCGCACGCCCTGGCCCTGTGTCGGCCGGCCCTGTCCCTAGGTTCACAGACAGCGCATCCTGCTTGAAGTTGAGCACAGGGAAACCCATATCGTGCCAGGCTCCTCCAGGACCTCCGCAATGCCTCTGTGCTGCCTGGAGCCAGGCGTGCCTTCCCTATGGCGCCAGGGTCACCAGCCAGGCCGTGAGGGTTTCCAAAGAGGGGACCTGGTGCCTTAACCTGCCCGGATGCTGCGCCCTACAACATCCCTTCCTGGCAGGCAGGGCCTCTTCTTTTCACAAATTTGTTTTAAAACAACATTTAAGGCCAGGCGCGGTGGCTCACGCTTGTAATCCCAGCACTTTGGGAGGCCGAAGCGGTGGATCACCTGAGGAGACCAGCCTGACCAACATGATTGAAACCCCGTCTCTACTAAAAATACAAAAATTATCCAGACGTGGTGGTACCCGCTTGTAATCTCAGCTACGAGGGAGTCGGAGACAGCAGAATCGCTTTAACCCGGGAGGCGGAGGTTGCAGTCAGTCGAGATCACCTCACTGCACTTCAGCCTGGGCGAGAGAAGGAGACTCCATCTCAAAACTATCAACCAACAACAACAACAACATGTAAGTCTTAGGCTACTCCTCAGGCCATTGATATGACAGTGGCCCAGCCAGGCTTTGAACCCTGGCCTGTGTGCGTCCTTATCATAGACGCCATCATATATTCTCATTATTTTCTGTAGTCCTTAGAGAACCTAGCATGCAGCACATCTGTACTAAGCACACGTATGCCTGCGGAGAGATTCTTACTTCACCTTCTAAGTTGATCACGGCAAGCCCTGGGCTCAAGTCTCTTCTGAAAACAGATTAGGGACCACCAGCAGTCAGCAAAGGACCATCCCACACTGTTCTTCTAATTGAGCATTACAGCCCAGATTTCCTTTTTGGTCTAGTTTGAAAGATCTAAATATGTAAAGATTATAGTCCTTTCCTGAAAGAAATTCACCAGTGGATTAATCCAAATGGATAAGCCAGTTCTCTGGCCTTCTTGTAATACATTAGAAAGCAAATTCATCATGTATTTGCAAGTTAGTAGTGGAGCAATGTATTGGATATAAAATATGATTAACACAATTTGGTCATTGTCAGCATGGCCCACTCTTTACTACACAATACTGTCACCTAAGTATAACTATACTTATTCTTATGCCCAAGGAAGGAGACATAATATTGGTTGTCAGGACAAAGGAAATATGTGTTACTGTCTTAAGAGCTGGAAGTTTCAGCATGAAAAGAAATATTTAGAAAATCCTATAGATGACTTTATCTAGTTTTAATCTTTTTTCTTTGGTTTATTTAACTGGATTGCTTTTTTCTCTTTGGGCTGATGTTGTGTGCCAGACACAGGACACACAGAAGTTCCAGAACCCATAATCAGAGATCAGTAAAAATATTTAAGTGTATTTTTTAGTTTAAAAAATTGATTTAAAATAACATCAGACATAGTTAACATAATACAACACTCATTTTATCCCTCTGCCTATATATTTTATAGTATGTCAGAGTAAATGTGGACTTCCATACCCAACAAAGCTTATGTTTGTAAGATACAAAGTTTGGCTCAGACTCAAATTCTGTTTAAAAAGAGGAGACATTATAAATTCTTCCTAACCTCTCAGGGAACAGAGAAATGATTTAAAGTTATGACATTTAATCATAATTCCTTGATACCATTTGAGGAGAGTTCAATAAGAAATAATCTCTTGATTGTATTTGCTTGAACAAAAATAACAAGCTGATACAAATTTTGGACAACATTTCCCAGAAGAACTCTGAAACAAGATGATTAAATGTCAGGCTTATTTGAAAACAATAAATTATTGTTACTTTCCCCTAATTTTTCCCCAAATAGGAAAAGTTCATTAAACAAATAATATTGGGGCTTCAGGACAATAAAAGGAGATTTGGACAAGGGTATTCCAGAAAAATCCACCTCTTTGTCTTGTCAAATGTGAATAGATGCTTTTTAAAAATATAATCTTACTTGTCCTTGCGAGGCAAATGGTTATTCTGAGATCATTTTTGACTTAGCAGAAGCAGACATATTGAGATTGAAATTTGCCAAGGCAAAATATTTTCCAAAAATCTAATAATTATATAAACATTGTAATAGCAATAATTCATAATTGCCAGGTGAGATTACTTTTTTTTTTTTTTTTTTTTTGAGACAGAGTCTTGCTTTTTCACCAGGCACCAGGCTGGAGTGCAGTGGTGCAATCTCGGCTCACTGCAACCTCCACCTCCCAGGTTCAGGCAGTTCTCTGCCTCAGCCTCCCGAGCAGCTGGGACCACAAGCATGCACCACCACACTCAGCTAACTTTTGTATTTTAGTAGAGACCCAGTTTCACTGTGTTGGCCAGAACTGTCTCAATGTCTTGACCTCGTGATCCACCCGCCTTGGCCTCCCAAAGTGCTGGGATTACAGATATTGCTTTTAATCTGATAATTTTTTTTTTTTTTTGAGACGGAGTTTCGCTCTTGTTACCCAGGCTGGAGTGCAATGGCACAATCTCGGCTCACCGCAACCTCCGCCTCCTGGGTTCAGGCAATTCTCCTGCCTCAGCCTCCTGAGTAGCTGGGATTACAGGCACACGCCACCATGCCCAGCTAATTTTTTGTATTTTTAGTAGAGACGGGGTTTCACCATGTTGACCAGGATGGTCTTGATCTCTTGACCTCGTGATCCACCCGCCTCGGCCTCCCAAAGTGCTGGGATTACAGGCTTGAGCCACCGCGCCCGGCCTAATCTGACAATTTTTAAAGCACCCTCCAGTCATATCAAATGAATTGCTGGGTGGCCAGTTTTGTATAGAATTGTGGTAGTGACAATAAACCATACCTGGCACCCTGTGGTTGAACACTCTCACCAACAATCCACTGTAAGTAATACAGAGTTAATGGGAGGACACACTGAATCCTCTGGACTTTACTGACTCATGAACCTCATTTAATAAACTTTTTCCCTAAAATAATTTTGGTCTCCTATTCTCTCTTGTGAAGAAAAGTACTCTGGAAAAAGAATTTGGAGGAAATAAACTTTATTCCAGTGAATGGTTTGCAAACTACATCCTTGGGTACAAAACAATGGTGGATTCCTGAAAACAAAGGGAAGACTTGGGTTTTACAGCAAAAGTTCCCTGACCAGGTTCCCAAATAAGATTCTTTACGCAAATGAAGGTTTGAAACTGGCCCAGTGCAGTGGCTCACGCCTGTAATCCTGGCAGTTTGGGAAGCCAAGCCTGGTGGATTACCTGAGGTCAAGAATTTGAGAGCAGCCTGGCCAACACAGTGAAACCCTGTCTCTGCTAAAAACTATAATATATCCTACTAATAATAAAATAAAAAATTAGCTAGGTGTGGTGGTGCATGCCTGTAATCCCAGAGACTTCGGAGGGTAAGGCGGTAGAGGTTGCAGTGGGCCGAGATTATACCATTGCACTCCAGCCTGGGAAACAGAATGAGACTGTCTCAAAAAAAAAAAAAAAAAAAAAAAGAAAGAAAAAGAAAGAGAAAGACTGAGCCCTGATTGTCTGAGTCAGGTGAGCTCTAATTTGCTGGTTCAGTTGGGGGAACTGATTTTGGGGGAACTCAAAGTATCTGTATGAACTCTAGTCAGCAAATGACTGCTTGGCTCTATTTTAAATTTAGGCCCAGTTAGCTACACAGGATTCATTTAGAAGGACTGGCTCTTTCAGGTTCACATTTGCCCACACTCTTGTGCCCTTTACTATAACCAGGGCTCAGTAAGAACAGACTGACTTTGTGCAGCTCCTTGTTAGAGTAGCCTTTTCTTGATTGTTTCATCTGTTTCCCCTCCAGTTAACTTTTTGCTTTTCAAAATCTTTCTGTTGGTGATGAATTCCACAATCTCTTGGCTTTCATTGGTCTACTAAATTTTGGTATTTGTATACTTTTATTTAAGTACAATTTCAGGAGGAACACAAAGTAAACGTGTCTATCACCTTGAACTGAAAGTTCCTGTTCATTCTAGAAGCCAACCTTCCCATAGGAGAAAACTACCCTTAGTATTAACAGATGTAGCATTCAAGATGTTTACTTTTCTTGAGGAATCAATCACTAAGGATTTAGGATATGGTAATTTCTGTATGGGGAAAGAATAGCTATCCTAGGAGTTGACTGGAAGATTAAATTCCATAATCAATATAGATATGCTTTGTAGAATTTTAAGTTCTATGAAAATGTTTGATATTATTTTTTGTTACTATATAAATTTTATTTATGACTTTTTTATGTAAGACAGTGCTTTTTGGTTGGCTGTTTAGAAAACCAAACTGCACTTTTCATTAGCTCAATGGAAATGAATGGCATTATTTATGAAGGTTGAGGTTGAAGCCATAGATGTTTCTCAATATCTATTACTTCATATTTTTTTCAGCAACTAAATTACTCTTATATTCCTCTTTCCAATTTTATTGAGCACCTATTCCAGTCAGATGCCTTATTTCAGGTTTTGGCAAATATTTTCTAGATTTTAGATATTTAAGTTGTTGCAGGCCAAATGCAGTTTCTGAAGCTCCTCTTCCTCCTCTTTTATCTCCTCCCTTTTATTCTTCAAGAGCCCTTTTAAAATGTAATAATCATTATTTGCTCACAGGACATACAAAGTGATCTGTAGGTCATTTTTTGCTAACCCCTGATCTATGTCTTTACTGAGTAGAAGGCACATCTTTGAGTAAATCACTTGTTTGAATCAGTTATTGTTCTCCCCAATCTTGTCCCTACAGTCTCTAATCGAAATGATATCCAGAGAGATCCTGTTGAAATATAAGTTAGATAATATCACTCAAGTCTCCTCAATGGCTTATTCAGAGCAAAGTGCCTCAGTCCTCAAAATGCTTCCAAAATCCTAGCAATCTGGGCTCTCCATTTCTTTTCTGACTTTATTTTCTTCTCTCCACTCTGATCTCTCTCCCCACAACACAGTGACATCATCCTTTCTGTTACCCGAATACTGTATGGACACTTTTGTCCATGGCCTTTCCATCTGACTGTTTTCTCTGCCATTAACACTCATTCCCCAGACACACACATTGTTGTTTCCAAGGATCCCATTATATTTCTTCTTAAATTTCACCTTTCACCTAATTTCAAATTGCAACCTTCCCCTACCAACTGACATTCTTAATCTCCTTTCCCTGCATTATATTTCTCCCTAGGACATATCTGATATACTATTTATTTTACCTACTTATTTAAATTTAATTTACATGTTTATACTTATGTTTATGTATTTGCTCATTCATTTTTGCCCCCCCCCCAAAAAAAATACAAGGTAGGAATATTTCCCCCTTTTTCACTGCTATATTCCTTGGATATACCTGTAAAACAGTACTTGACATTTGGTAGAGTATCAATAAATTTTCTTGAATGAATAAAGGTGTGGGTGAATTCGTGAATAAATCTCCAGGGTTTCTGAATTGAAGATTTGTGTGAAGAGGAAGGCAACATGGTTGGGACAGGGTACTGTATTTGGAGTTCTCTAATGTGTATCTTAATATATAGATTTTTGTTCATTTAAATAATTTTAACAGGAAACTGGTATAGGGAGACACATCACAACATTTTTATAGTGGATTCTGTAAGGTTCTTTTAAAGTATGCATAAGTATTAAAATATATGCATGTATATACGTATCTCTACTAATTGACTGAATGCTTTACAAGAGACATTTGAAGTAGCAAGTAACAGTATTCTTCATTTACAGATGAGCTTAACTGCTCAAGGTTACATTATAATGTAGTTATAAATGTAAAACTATACTGTGAGTTTTTGAGCAGGTCCTCCCTAGAAAGCTGTGACTTATTATTAATATCCTGATAACCCACAGAGATTTATTCAGCTGCCAACAATGTACAAACTACAGACTTAGTTATGGGCCATTCATTTTAATAAAGGGAAAAAGATTTATCCAGCACAAAAAGGGGAATACTAAATGTTGTTCTCTGTTAAGATAAACAATGGGAGCCAGGTGCGGTGGCTCATGCCTGTAATCCCAGCACTTTGGGAGGCCGAGGCAGGTGGATCACAAGGTCAAGAGCTCGAGACCATCCTGGTCAACATGGTGAAACCCTGTCTCTACTAAAAATACAAAAATTAGCTGGGCATGGTGGTCTGTGCCTGTAATCCCAGCTACTCAGGAGGCTGAGGCAGGAGAATTGCCTGAACCCAGGAGGCGGAGGTTGCGGTGAGCCAAGATCGCGCCATTGCATTCCAGCCTGGGTAACAAGAGTGAAACTCTGTCTCAAAAAAAAAAAAAAAAAAAGATAAACAATGGGAAAAGTAGGCTCCAGTCTTTTTAAAAGAGCTTGAGACCATCATATATGCATTATGGCCATGAGGATATTCAGCCAGGCTGCCCTTCTGTATCACTCAGAAGAATTCCCATATTATATAATTGTACTTATTGAAACAGATAAAGGACATTGGCTAATTAAGAATTCTTCAGCTTGATTTTTCCAGAAGTCTTGCCTGTAAAATAAAGATAGTTGGTCTGAACACATTCAGGTAGATAGAGGTTGTTAGAATCTTAACTTTAGCAGTGAATGAAGTGAGCTTATTTTATCTCTGCAGCCTCCCATATACCTATGTCCAACCTCTGGTTTGTGTTTGGAAAGAAGTAAAAATTAAAAATCAAGATAACTAACACAAATTATTTATTGATTTATATAAGCATGCAGAACTAAATGTGATGTAGTTCAAATATTTATTTCTTTTTAGTGTTGTATGTTTGGGAGAAGCCTTCAAGGTATCAGAAAACAAAATCCAACTATCCAGTTGGAAACCACAGTACATTTATCTGATCCGCAAAGTCTCCAAAAAGTAACACAATTTCTGTTTTGTAGCTTGTATGTGCACATGTATTTTTTTTCTTTTTCCTTTGTTTAACAATTGCAGTGGAAATGCTGTACAAAAATAACTCAATGTTTTTATGTCACTTCTTAATACACAGACATTCTACCCAAGCTCTCTATCTTCAGCTGACTGATGACTAAGAAAGGACTAAAAGGAAAAGCAGCTATGGGTTTCTCTCCTTTCCTCCTTTTTTCAATGTCATCAATTTCAGCATAAGTGGTAGCTAATACTGGAAAATAAAACAAATCAGAAAGAATGTGATGGAGTGTGGCCTCTTGGAGCTGTTAGCACCTTACTCAGTCATAGATGACTAGTTGATGCTTAGCATTCAATAATTTTTTATAGTTAATTTTCAGTCTTATATTCATTGCAGCTAACGATTTTAGGCACTGCTATGAAGGATTTTAATAGAAGAAAAGTAGATTCATCTGTTTTGGAACAAAGTTTATCAGTTTGACCTTTGGACCACCTGCATCACTCTTATCCTCCATAGACACTGAATGCCCCTCCCCCAACTAAGCTGTACACTTTTTTTTTTTTCATTATTCTTTTAAATTTATTTATTATACTTTAAGTTCTGGGATATATGTGCAGATTGTGCGGTTTGTTACATAGGTATACATGTGCCATGGTGGTGATTGGCTGCATCCATTGCTCCGTCATCTACAGTAGGTATTTCTCCTAATGATATCCCTCCCCAGTCCCCCCACCCCCTGCTATTACTCCCCTAGCCCCCCACGCCCCAGTGTATGATGTTCCTCTCCCTGTGTCCATGTGTTCTCATTTTTCAACACCCACTTATGAGTGAGAACATGAGGTGTTTGGTTTTCTGTTCTTGTGTCAGTTTGCTGGGAATGATGGTTTCCAGTTTCATCCATGTCCCTGCAAATGACATGAACTCATCCTCTTTTATGGCTGCATAATATTCCCTGGTGTATATATGTCATATTTTCTTTATCCAGTCTATCATTGATGGGCATTTGGGTTGGTTCCAAGTCTTTGCTATTGTGAACAGTGCCACAGTAAACATATGTGTGTACATGTCTTTATAAAAGAATGATTTATAATCCTTTGGGTATATAGCCAGTAATGGGATTGCTGGGTCAAATGGTATTCTACTTTTAGATCCTTGAGGAATCACCACAGTTTCCCACAATGGTTGAAATAATTTACAATCCCACCAACAATGTAAAAGCATTCCTGTTTCTCTACATCCTCTCCAGCATCTGTTGTCTCCTGATTTTTTAATGATTGCCATTATAACTGGTGTGAGGTGGTATCTCAATGTGGTTTTGATTTGCATTTCTCTAATGACCCATGATGATGAGCTTTTTTTCATATGTTTGTTCACTGCATAAATGTCTTCTTTTGAAAAGTATCTGTTTATACCCTTTGCCCACTTTTTGATTTTTTTTTCTTGTAAATTTGTTTAACTTCTTCATAGATTCTGGAAATTAGCCCTTTGTCAGATGGGTTGATTACAAAATTTTTTTCTATTCTATTGGTTGCTAGTTCATTTTTTTGATAGCTTCTTTTGCTGTGCAGAAGCTCTTAAGTTTAATTAGATCTCATCTGTCTATTTTGGCTTTTGTTGCCATTGCTTTTGGTGCTTTAGTCATAAAGTCCTTGCCCATGCCTATGTCCTGAATGGTATTGCCTAGATTTTCTTCTGGATTTTTAATGGTGTTAGGTCTCATGTTTAAATACTTAAACCATCTAGAGTTAATTTTTGTATAAGGAAGGGATTCAGTTTCAGCTTTCTGCATATGGCTAGCCAGTTTTCCCAGCACCATTTATTAAATAGGGATTCCTTTCCCCATTCCTTGTTTTTGTCAGGTTTGTCAATGATCAGATGGTCGTAATTGTGTGGCATTCTTTCTGAGACCTATGTTCTGTTCCATTGGCCTGTATTTCTGTTTTGGTAGCAGTATCATGATGTTTGGATTATAGTAGCCTTGTAATATAGTTACAATATAATATAGTTATAGTCAGATGGGGCCAGGCATGGTGGCTCACACCTGTAATTCCAGCACTGTGGGAGGCCGAGATGGGTGGATCACCTGAAGTCAGGTGTTCAAGACCAGTCCAGACTGGTCAGCTTTCACCAACATGGTGAAACCCTGTCTCTACTAAAATTAGAAAATTAGCTGGGTGTGGTGGCAGGTGCCTGTAATCCCAGCTACTTGTTAGGCTGGGGCAGGAGAATCGCTTGAACCTGGGAGGCAGAGGCTGGGGTGAGCTGAGATCACCCCACTGTACTCCAGCATGGGCCACAGAGCAAGACTCCAAGATTCCATCTCAAGAAAAAAAAAAAACAAACTTGATAGTGCCTGCAGAAGGCCACAAGACACTGAAAAAGAAAGCAATGATTACCTGTCAACCTTTTAGACTATGCGTGTGTCACAAGAATGTTTTGCCCATCATTTATACTTCCTCTAATGTTTCTTAAAACTTCTGATCTGGAGACACAACCCAGTAAGGGGGACTTAGAACATGAGTTCAATGTCTCTTCTAGGTTGCCAGCTGTTCCTATAAAGCTAAATTTCATTTCGCCAAAAGCTTGTCTCTTGAATTTCTGCTTTCAAGAGATAAGTGGTCCTTCGTTTGATAACATCATCTATCATCTATCCATCCATTCATTTTGTTGGTTCTGTCTCTCTGGAGAACCCTGAGTAATACAGAATTTGAATACAGGAAGGGTTGGAGAAGAAAAAAAATGTAGGAATGAGGCATTTGGCTTTGGCATTTCTAAAATTATATATCTAACCTTATTATAGCTAAAAATGCTAAGAACTCCACTTCTAGCTATACAGAGAACGCTGACATTCCATGGCATGAACTGTTTGCTTATAGAGAAAGGCAAATAACTGCATTTGATACTCCTATTCAACCACTGATAGGAGGAAAGAAATTTGGTGACTTTGACATCATAACTTCAAAAATTTTTGAAAACCAAGGTATACATGATATTGGTTGGTTGCTTCTAATGTTGCTGAGAAAAATAATTAAAGAAAAGGAACTCTCAGGATTATCTATGCATCAATAACCTTAGATCTTCCAACAATGCCCCGAGTGAGAATAATTTCTCTTGTAGTCACAGTGCTGAAATTTCTAGAAATCAAACACAAGCCCTTATCATGTGAATGGCTAAACTACAATGAAAGTTGAACTTTTGCCCTAGTAAATGAGGGTATTAGTTAAGAAAAAGGGGTCCCTGTAAATAAGATGGGAATCTTAGGGAAAACCTTGATGAGGTTGAGACAATGAGCTCTGAAATTCTGATGAGTCTTGTTTGGAGCATATGTAAGTTTCACCCTCACCCCAATGGCAGTGGCCTCCCACCACAGTGGTATAGGCCTTTTCACCTCTGTCTGAGGAAATTAACTCTGCATTGCACTGGAAGAAGGGTAATGAACTCCCTTGAGGCAGATGCAAAGCAATCTAATGCTCATTCTCTTCAGGGCCCACTCCCGCCACTGATTTTGCTTCCAGACTTAGAATTAGAGTCAAGTCACAGCAGGCATTTAAAGGTAATACATGAAGTGTGACCCTTGAGAAGTTTCACTACACTCCAAAAAAAAAAACTAGCTGAGTTTTCCGTTTTACACAAATACAAATCTGGAGAACATGTGTGGAAACACATGTTAAGGGTTGGGTTAATGGTGGGGAGAACATAAAGCTGGATGAGGACAAATTTATTGATATGAACTCACTAAGCAGATTCTGCTTCAAATGTGCAGCTTGAGGATTTAGAAATGATGTCAGTAGTTTGACTGGTTGGCTGAAATATAGTTGAAAAGATGGCCCACCATGAGCAAGTCATAGATCTGCTATCTCCCCTGGATTACTTTGGAAGAAGGAATTCATGGGCTTGGGAATATACAATGAGAGGGTAGATTTGCCATTTAAAAGCAACTTACTCACATTAATAGACTCCAGAAGACAAACTATTTATCAGTACTTTGTTAAATAGCTTTGTGTGGGGAGGCCAAGGACTACTCAAGAGTCCCCTGATCTTTCTTCTCTGTAGGCCAGATCTTGTAACAAAATTTACAGTTCATCAACTGGAAAATTTAAATGCAGTGGGAATAAAGGGAATGCAAGTGGCAATAAAGGGGGTCTTAGGGCCAAGTAGCAGCCCTCAATCTTCAAAGACAAGGTAGTTTTAATTAAGTTAATAGACAGTAAAGGCAAAACAATAATCAAATTCTGATTCCTATTGATCTATGGTGTTGGCCACTTAACTGTGAGTGTTCTTGTAATTGAAATATGCAGAAAACCTACTGTCTGGTAGAAGGCCTCTCTGGCCCCACCCCCCAGCCACATGGAAGGAGCTTAACTTCCTTACGTGACTCGGCACAATGCCCCCGACTGAAGGAACTCCAGCCCCTTCCGCCTAGCAACCACCTAACCAATCATCACCTGCCTCTTTAGCTCCCGCCCAGCAAACTTCCTGCCCAAATCCTGACCAATCACCATATGCCCTATCAACCTCCTGCCCACTCAACTTCCCGTTCGGCAAACTCCCCGCCCGGCAACCGGGACTAACCAATCATCACCCGCCGCCACTGCTCTCCCACCGCCCCAGGCCCTCTGCCCCTATAAAACCGACTGAACAAGGAAAGCGCGCGCGATTCCTCCCTTCCCGCTCGAGTCGCCTGGAGATCCCAATAAAGTCGGTACCGGTCACCATGCGTCCTGCCTCGTGTCTACTGGGTGCCTGCCTCCGTGGGTTGGGGTCCCACAACCAGAGGTCGCACACCTACTAAATGCTTACTTCATCTGAAGAAGCAGAAAACTTTCAGATAAAGTCGACAAGAATCTGCCTTACATCATAAAATTCAGAGAATCATAGCACCTCACTCAATTCTCATACTTTAGCCAGTTTCCAGGCCCAGAACTCCTTAAAATAAGGGACAGTCAGGTCCCTTTGAAAAACAATCCAGGTATACTACCAGAATGTTATACTGTTAATACTTTTCCTTTCCTAAAAGAGACTTGCAACATTTTACTAAGAAAACTGCGCTTTGATAAAAGAAAATAAGAAATTTGGGGGAACTACTAGACACTGGCTCTGAACTGACATTGGTTCCAGGAGATCCACAACAACACTGTGGCCCTCTAATTAGAGTACCTTCTTACAGAGGTCAGGTGATTAATGGAGTTTTAGCTCAAGCCTGACTCACATTGGATCCAGTGGGTTCCTGAAGTCATTCTCTGGTGATTTTTCAGTTCCCAATCCACAATTGGAATAGAAATACTTAGTAGCTGGCAGAACACCCACATTGGTGTCTTAAGTGAGGGCCATTATGGTGGGAAAGCACAAAGGAAAGCCAGTGGAGATGCTTCTAGATAAAACAGTAAATAAAAAACATAACCACATCCCTGGAGGAACTTCTGAGATTACTGCAACCACGAAGGACTTGGAAGACCAAGATGGTTATTCCCACTAAATTCCCACTGAACTCACCTATTTGGCGTATGCAGAAGACAGCTGGATCCTAAATAATGACAACAGAGTCCCGTAAACTGAATCAAGTCTTAACTAAAATTTCAGGTGTTGTACAAGATATGGTTTCATTAATTCAGCAAATTAACACATATCCTGGAACTCATATGTAACTCTTTCTGTTCATAAGGTTCAATAGAACAGTTTGCATTCAAATGCCAAAGGAGGCACGAAACCCTCACTGTCCTACATGAGAAGTATATTAACTCTCTACCCCATGTTACAATTTTGAGGCAAAGAACTTGATCAATTACCACTACCATAGGAATCTTGCTGGTCCAATTCATTGATGGACCAATTCAAAGTGAATATCAAGTAGCAACTACACTGAACATATTCATAAAATATTTTCATGTAAGTCAGTGGGCAATATATCTAAATGAAATTCAGGGGCCTTCTACTTTAGTAAAATATGTAGAGATTCAGTGGTGTGGGGTATTTTGAGATATTTTTTCCAAAATGAATGGCAACTGGTTGCATCTGGCTTCACCTACAACCATTACAGTAAAAAAAAAAAAAAAAAAAAAAAAAAAAAAAAAAAAAAAAAAAAAAAGAAAGAAAAAAAAAAAGCACAAGGCCTAGCAATCCTATTTGGATTTTAGAGGCAATACATTTCTGTTCTGGGTGTGTTATTCTGGCCCATGTACCAAACAACTCGAAAAGCTTACAGTTTGACTGGGGCTGAGAACTCAAGGCTCTTCAGCAGTCCAGGCTGTCATGCAAGCAGCTTTTCCACTTAGGACATATAGCTCTTCAGATCCAATGGTACTTGAGGTATCAGTGGCAGAGAGGGACTTCTTTGAAGCTTTTTTAGGACACCATTGGTAAATTTTGGAGCAAGACCCTGTCCTCATCCACAGATAACTAGTCTCTTCAGGGTCAGCTTGTGACCTTATACTGATTGTAATAGAAATAAAATGCAAGATTGTGAACCACCAAGTTACCATGCATCCTGAACTGCCCATGATAAACTGTTACGTGACACAACTAGCTATCAAGTTAGGTGTGCACAGCAGTACTCCATCAACAAATGAAAATGGTACATACGTAATTGGGCCAGAACAGGTCCCCAAAACACTAATAAATTACATGAAGGAGTGACACCTATGCCCTGGGGGTCCATTCCTGTGGCACTGTCCACTTCTCCTAGCTGGCACCTACGGCCTCATGAAGAGTTCCCTGTAATCATTTGACAGAGGAAGAGAAGACTAGGGCCTCATTTACAGATGGTTCTTCAAGATATGAAGGCACCACCTGAAGGTGTAGAGTGGTAGCTCACTAGCCCTTTCTGGGGCATCCCTGAAGGAAAATGGGGAAATAAATCTTCCTAGTGGATAAAAATCAGGTAGTATATCTAGTCGTTTGGAAGGAAAATTGTTAGAAGCGTGCTTGTACACTGATTCATGGGTTTTGAACAATAGTTTGGTTAGATAGTCAGGGACATAAAAATACATAATTAAAACACTGTTAATGA